ACTTGCATTTCCAAGTTCAGCTGGGTGGTACCTCCTCCATGAAGCCTTCCTGATCTATAAGGCAGGGATAAAAGTTCCTCTCTCTTGGATCTTGCAGTGCTAGTACAGGGGCCACTATACTACCCTCTCTTGTAGCACATGTTGCCATTCTGGCCCCCTCACTGCACTGTAAAATCCTTGCTTTTAAGGGCTGGGTCTTAGTCATCCATTTATCTCCTGTACCTGGTAGAGTATCTGGCACAAAGTAAGGACACAGTAAAGGTTGAGTGAATATACAGGTTAACAAATGACACCTGTCTCTCCTCAGCATTCTCTGTACTCTCAAATTATCCAAATAGTGAGAACTGTGAATCAAACACTGAAGGCACAAGCTATAGCTAACTCAGTTTGGGGCTCGCCGTCTTGGTGTTTAATGATATGAACTGCTTCCGTTTATCAAAGCCACTTCTATTCAAATGCTTCCCTATCCTTCTGCTTTCCTAAGGTAATATCAAATGTTAATGTAAAAACTAAAATCTCAAACAACCATTCTCAACCAGGCATGTTTGAGGGATTGTTTGGAGCAGATGATGGTAGCACATGTCCACAGCGGCCGAGCTAAAGATAAAACAGCCTCATTCTCATGTACTCAAATGTCCTGTGGGCTCCCTCCTCTGTCGTCAGCAGGAGGAGGACAGGGCATGGTCTAGGGTTTGTCCTTAACCTGAAGGACTGGGTTAGGCCTTGGTAGGGAAGAACCTGGGAAGGAGACTTCAGCCCACCTCATGCCCTCTACCACCCCGAGAATAGCTCACCTCAAGAATGAGGGACCTCCAGCCCCAGCCCAGAAGCAGACGGTAGCTAAGGAGCAGGAAAACACCTGGTCACAGCTCCTGTAACTCTGGAGTAGGTTCTGATCAATACTGGGGTGGAGAGGGCCCGGGAGAGTGAAGGGAGTGGGTGGTGTTAGACCCAGGCCCCAAGTCTCCTCAGTAATAGAGGGTCAAACCTCCCCATCCAGGCCTTTCTTCATCTTCACCCACTCAACAAGTGTCTATTGAGCATCTACCATGTTCCAGGAACTTCTTGGCGCCAGGACTAAGGCTTTCTTTTCTTTGAAAAGGTTCATGGTCTGCTGAGAGAGAAAGACAGGAAAATCAATGACTGTAAGATGATGTATTACAGAGGCGTGCACAGATCACAGGATGTTATTTGCCGAGTGGAAATGGGACCTCAGAAAATGGTCACTGTACAGAGGCCTGGCTAGGAAAGAACAACCCAAAACTGAACTTCTGTCTGCACAACATGCACCAGGTGGGTCAGCTGAAAACACGCAACAAAGTGGGAGGGGAGGCCTACTCAGGATGGGAGGACGGGGCCTCAGTTTGATTTACTGACTTGGGTTTCAGGCGTTGGCTCCGCCTGTTCAGACAGGTGTTCTGTACCACCTGGTGGGTGTATGAAGGCCAGGTCCTTACCCCTTGGGGAGGTGCTTTGCCCTCTCCCAAGGGCTATTCTGACTCCAGAATCACCAGGTTTCCTTTGCTGCCTGTCTGTGTCCTCTGTGGTCTGTTTCTAAGAAGGTACCTCTGTGGGAACTGGTGATAGGAAAAGCAATTGCCCCTAATTCTACCCCCATGGAGCCACTGAGAATAACTATAAACCTCTTCTATATGCCACATCTTCATATAGTTGAAAACAGATATCAAAACCCCTGCACTCCCCAGTTACCGTTTCTTTAGGCCAGGCATCCCCCGTTTCTTAATCCTTCCTCTGAGCAACCATTTTCAAATCCACTGACCACTTTTTTCTCACTTTCAGGTTTGTGTTGACCTTCTTAAAATGTGAAGCCCATAATAAACTAGGTAAAATCTGATCAGCACAGAGAAAAATAGGGATATCACCTCCTTTGTTTTCTGTCTCAAATTTCTAATACCAAAACCAGAGATGGAATTTGCTCTTTTATCAGCCACATCACAACCTGAGTCTCATAAAGCTTACCATGAGCTCAGCCCTAATTATTTTTTTCTATTTCTGCTGCTACTAACCCACATCTTTCCCACCCCACCCCCCACCCTATATTTGTGCAGTTATTTTCTGGGCCAAAGTGCAGAACCCAGGTAGTGGGAGAAGAGTTAGCATACATGTCTCCTGACTTTGGGCCCTGACTGAGAAACCTCCCAGGGAGTCCTCCCCTCTCTTCAACAGAGCAGAGCTAGAGGCCCAGTTAAATGAGTTAATGACCAGAAGTTAGTCAGGAGGGACTAGTAGATAACTCTAACGCTAATCAGCTGTTGGAATACTTGAAAGAGTTGGCAATCTTTTACCTTGTTCCTCAAAAGCCAAAGATATGACAATAATGTATGGGGTTGGAGGTTAGAGGGAATGGTGACGCACTTCCAGGACCCAGAGATGCCTGTGGGAGCCAAAGATCTCACAGCAATGAGCCCCGACTCAGGCATGTTCAAGGGAAAGGATGAGGATGGAAGGATATGCAATACACCAAATAAAAACATGAAGCCTGAATTAGAGAAAGTGAGTGAACACCACAATAATGGCAAGCTCCTGAGTGGAGATGGGAGGTCAGCTGTGCCCCCCAACCCAACCACCTTACCCTCCCAGCACATTCGAACACAGCCGAGCAGGCATAGCAATTTATGAAAGAGTGTGGGAATGCCTGTTAGAGACTCGGAACTAGAAATGGGAGGGAAGGAAGGACATCTAGAGCTTTTACTGACTTTGGAACAGAGAGCCAGACTGAAGGGTCGGGGAACAGGAGGTTTCCAGCAAAGCCATCCAGATGTGCTTCCCGACGCCCTCAAGACCCACCGTACAAACCAGCGTCCAGTCAGTCCATAGTGCATCCTTCTGGCCGATGGCGGATCAAGCTGAGGGGAAGCTAAATAATAATAATTACAATGATGATGATGATGACGGGCATTTAGGGTGGGTGAGTCTTTCCTGGCTGCGTTGGCTGGGCTGCAGTTTGTTTAGATTTTTCAGAACAAATTCAGAGGTCAAAGATGACCACTGGAGGGGAAAAACTATGACCAGCAGGCCTTGTGTTTCTCCCTTCGCTCCACATCTTGGGACAGTCATGTTCACCCGCAGTCAGTCACCTGGACCCAAGTGAGCTTCCAAACAAGAGTGTGAGGGCTCCTTCCTCAGGGCTTTTATTCAAGCCAGGCCCCAAACAATGCCCTGCCCTCCTCCATCTTTGCGGTCAGCTGAAACGGCACCTTCTCTGTGGAACCTCCCCTGAATCGCTTAGACAAAAGCTGACCGTTCCCCTTTGGAGAGGTGTGCATAGCGTATTTCTCACTGGCCTGTTTTTTGTAAGGCTGTTCGTGAAGATGTATTTTGAAGTTGGAAGCTCGCAAAGAGCAAACCGTGTCTCCCTCACCTGGTACAGAGTTGATGCTCTGGTGGAGTGAGGCAGTAAGGGAGAGAGTGAATGAATGAATGAGAGAGTGATGAATGAGTGACAGAGAGAATGAATGAAAGTGAGAGTGAATGAATGCATGGATGAGAGAATGAGTGAGTGAATGAATGAAATACAGGAAGGGAGGGACAAGGGCACAGGGTCTCCAACCCACAGGTACGTGTGCATCACCCTGCCCAGGGATGGTGCTTCCCTCTCCATGGTACTAATTGGAAAATGGAAAATCTGCCTCTATGCTAAGGCAAATTGGGTCCTGCTGGCAGGAATCATGTGCCCTGCAGTTGGGGGAGGAGCCCCTGAACTAGGAATGCCGTCACCTCCCCTCATCCCCGGTGGAGCCCTTTCTTCTTCCAGAAAGAGTAGAGAATACTCTAGACAAATGTGAGACCCTCCAGAACCAGGGAAGGCAGCAGGAAGTGTGTTATAAAGAGCCCTTAAGTGGAGGTCCGTCGGTCCAGGTAGGTTAATCAGTATCCTGACCCTACACTGGCTTTGTAAACCTGAGATATAAATTCTCTCTCAGAGCCTCAGTTTTCCCTTCTGCCTGGGAAGACGATTGGATTAGTTGATTTTTAAGGAGATTTTGAGCACCATGCACCCTAGGGAGTAGGCTCTGTGATCTCCCTCCTTGACCTGGAGGAGGAACCTACCTGCGCTGCCCACCAGGAGATTTGCCTTGAGGACAAATGGAAGTCAGGCAAGGATTCTAGAAAAATATACCTCATTTGAGGACAATTCAGCTTCCTGTGCCCTCCTGGTGTGCTAAGCGGAGAAGTGGGGAGAGTGGAGTGGGAAAGGGGAAAGGTGTGGGAAGGGGGTGTCACAGCCGAGCAGGGGAGGGAGATTTGGAATAATCAATAGTTGATAGACCAACCTCTTTAATGTTTCCTAATGGGTTTGCTGATTTTTTCTCCAGTGCTTTTGTCACTTCCTAATATCTCCTCACACAGGGTCACCTTCTCCCCAACTCCCAGAAACGGAAGGGGAGCACGTTGCAAAGACTCTTGTATTATAAAAGTCGCTTGCTTCGCAGGGGAGCACAGCAAATTCACTCTGCACTAAATGCCGGAAGTATCCACTGGCTGGACCTCTGTCCCTGCACTTGGGCCTCTTTTTACAGCTGTCCCCTGATGGGCTGGTGCATGTCTGCTGGATTCCTGAAGGGCATTGCACAGAGTTAGGAACCAGGGTCATGGCTAAAAGCTCAAAAGGCCACGGATCTCCATTGCCTCCACACACACATGCAGCCTCTTCTAGCTGAGATAAGATCTTTCTTCCTTCCTGAGCCCCTGGGAGACCAAAGCTTTCAGAGACAGCACTCTGATCACCTGCAGTCTCTCAATGATAGAGACCTCACCTCCCCTTTTCTCCCTTTTCTGGTGTTTACAGAACAATACAAAAGCAAGGTTAGCTTGCAGAAGTGCCTCATCACTAGTGACCCCCTGGGTGTGGGTTCTGAGAGGTGGAGCCGGCGCCGCAGGCCCTCTCTCCATTGGCTGGCCTCAGTAGGTAACCTGAAGCTTTGCTGCGAGGTGCATAAATAGAGAGTGAAACTAGTACCACCTCCTTGAAAGGGGCTGAGTCCTTCTTCACCTTTGGTTTGGAAAAACCAGTTTCTCTCTTTTATTGTCTGTTACCAACTTCTTTTCTAAAAGTTCAATGGAACCCCACCATATGCCAAACTCTTTCTCTCCCGGCTACTTTTATTCCCCTCTGCTCCAATTCCACTTTCCTCTGCTTTCTTACTCTTTTGTATTAAAGGGAGAATGGGTATTCAGGACTGGCCCCACCTTCTGCAGGAACCATTTCTGTTCTGCACAGGTCTGCTGAACTGGACACTTTATACAGTAAGTGTTTCTTGTTTCTTACACACTGTCATTAAACCTGAGGAGTGAAAGAACATTCCAAGACTTGGAATTCCTCTTCTCCTCTCTTAAACATGATTCTCTAGCCATCTCTCTTTGTTCTGAATTCTCTTACGGAAAAAAAAAATGTATTTGTTATTTTGAATCAAGCTCAAAGTACACCGTGTCTATGAAGGTACAGACACTCATACTTAAAGGTGAGTCTGAAATGTCTGGATTTGGGGACCTTTGGAAAACTATAGCTGAGTGGCTATGTCTCATTGGGCAGGAAGAGATGGGGATGAGCTGCGGAAAAAGCCACATTCACCGGAAGTTGATCATCAACTTCTTCCAAGGCTAAAACAGCTGAACCTGCCACATTTTAACTAAATCCCCAGTTCTGTGCTTTCTTAGGGGACTTCCAGTGATCCTAGGCAAGAAATCTCACTGATAATTAAGTTGGTATGATAAGGTGCATACCGAGCAGTTAAGTACCAAGACTGCATTTCCATCGGGGTTCCTGAAGATTCACCTACCAGAGGACCAGGGGCTTGGCTGGTTTTTCAGTCCTGGGCTGGAGGGTGTAGATATAACAGGAAATTCAGGACCTGGTTCCATTCTCTGGTTCTCATGTCCACGTTGGTGTTATTAGGAAACTGTGTGGGGCACAGATCTGAGGGCAGTTGTGGGAAGAAGGGCAATCACAGGATGGCCTTAACTCTAGGCCAAACACCTGCATGGTTTGTTTCTCTGACCAGCTCCCACCCTGCAAGTGGCCAAGAGTCACTGGGGCCTCACGTTGGCAAAGGCGTGGTTGGCACATGTTGGGTGTGGGGTCCCGAGTGTGTCAAGTATCCTGATCCAGGTCCCAGGTCATCTTTTCCTATCTATGCCTTACAGCCACTGTAGCTCAGTAAGGCCAGGGGTGGGTGATAAGGAAGGGCCTGCCCTTTCCGGGCTCTCAATTGTCAATGCCACCTCCCATTTGCATGGCCTTTCACGGTTAAAGTGCTTTTACAGACACTGCCATCTCTGGAGTATCCACCCTGGAGGCTAAGGACCCCACGTGAGGGTGAGACTCGGCACACCCGATTGAGGACATGAAGAATCTGGTGGACCGCACATGTTGGGAGGGTAAGAATGGGCTAAGGAGGGCCTGGAGGGAGATAAACTGAACCCTTTGCCCTCTGAGCTGGGCTGAAATCTAAAGAGAAAGCAAAGAATCCTTCCATCCCAGAACCACTGCCTCCCACTAACTCCTGCCATCATTTATCAGAGCCAAATCAGTTGGTCTCTTTCTTCCTTTGACTGTGAAATGGGTCAGAGGCAGCACAGGAGGATTTTATAGTCAGATGATTCACAAGCAGGGTGCATTTCTCTCTCATAACTGAGTTCTAAGTATTCATAAAAAAAGGCTGAGTGGTGAGGAAGGGCCAGGCTTCTTCCCCCCGGTGCCAAGATTCTGTCCCCAGCACACTGTGTTCCCCCTGACCGAGGAAAGTGGGGCTGGAACTGCAAGCCCCTGTCTAAGAGCCCTTTGCAGAGGCCCAATACCCAGGGGGCTGGATGAAGCAAGGGGTGGGGAGGGGCCACTTTATAAGGCGCTGCCTCCTGCTTCGGGTCAGAACAAGCCCCAGAAGAAGGCGTTCCAAGCAGCAGGGCAGATTTGCTCTAAGTCACTCCAATTGCATGTTGGTGCTGAGAACAGCCTTTTATGGGGCTGACGCACGGGCGTGTCCGAACACAGCCAGGAAGACGCAGCAGGAACAGCCGTGGGGCACCTGGGGGCTGGGCATTTCCTTTTGGAGGACGGAAAGCTCCCAGATAGTGTCCATCTTTCCTGTTTGGTGCAATGTCTGCAAGCCAGGTTATCTCCTCCCCTCCCACATCTCCCAACCCCTTTCCCAAAGAACATGTAGTCATGCCATTTCCAGGCAGATTTGGGAAAGGATGTGAGATCACCAGAAGTGGGCACCCTTGTAAGTCTTTCGGAGTGAGTCTGAGGAGTCTCCCCATCTTCCGCCACCCCTGCCCTCTCGAATGGGCCTGGCTCTGGCCAGGGGTTCTGGTGCCCTCTGATCTCCTCACCCAGCTGCTTGTGATCTCACCCCAGCAAGTGGGCCTGCAAAGTGCTGTTCATGTCCTCCATGTAGAGCATTCTGAAGAAGGGTGCCCCCACCCCGCATTCCATCCCCTTGGTAAGCAAGTTCATAGGAGGTGGGTTTTTCTAAAGCAACTTCGGACTACCTGCCTTCTCCATACAGAGCTCAGTTACACTCACAGGTGGATACAGGCAAAGGGAGGGGATGACCAGCATCCCAAACAGATAAATGCACAGAAGGTTCCACATGGCCTTGTCTGGAGCAGCGGCTTCAAGGGTGAGAAACAGGGAGAGTTCCCAGCCCTGCAGCCCCGTCCCCTCCACTTAGGACAGCCTGTGCCACACACACATTGGTGTCTTGGGGAGTGGGCTCTCTGCACCTCCCAGAAGGAAGGCTGATATCCTAGGGGTGCTGTGGGCATTCAGGTCCTTCACTAACCCCTGGTCTGTGATTCCAAGACCCTAAAGGCCTTTGGCCAGGCAATAGCCCTGCGTGCAGAGGCCGGGCTTGACATGCAGCCCACCCTCTGAGAAAGGCCCCCAGACAATCCATGTGTTTCTCTTGTCCTTCATTCCACCGGAGTCTGTCTCATACCCATCCAGATTTCAGTGGAGTGAAGCTCAGGAGGCGTGGAGCTGGCGCCGGGGCCACAGCCGCAGCCACAGCAGCAGCGAGAGTAGCTCTGACTTAGAAAAAGAAGGGCCCGGTGAGGGACGCGGTAGATGAAGGACACATCTGGAGCACGCAGCCTGCTGCAGAGGGGCTGGGGAACTGGGGATGGGCAGGCTGGACAACACACCACACATGGAAGCCACCTTTTCTATTCTTCCTTTTCTAAAACTGGTGCTACAGAAATGTGCGTGTTCTGTAACATACAAAAATTAAAAGTTGTCTGTCTGCTGGAAAGCCTGCCTCTGTGATTCTTGCTCTCGGATGCAGACCCCCTGGCCCTCTAAGTCACCTTCTCTTTGGGCTAAAACAGAGACATGAGCTGGAACAATCAACAGAGGCCCCTTCTGTCCTTGGGTTCTGCAGGCAGGTGGCTGGAATTCTATTTGCAGTCAGCAAGGAAGCCTGCTATCCTCAGTGTCCCCACAGCAGCCACAGCAGTAATAACTACTGCAGGGCCTGCAGAATAGGGTCAAAAACACTCTAAGAAGATTCTTTAAACCCTATTTATATTGTTATAAAATAAATGTAAATAAGATGTAAGTGAAAGTAGATTTCAGGTACATCTGATGCTCTACAAGATATATCTCACATACTGTGGGTGTAAATTCTACAAAGGTTAGTGCACTTAAACATATTTGACACATAAAAATGTCAGCTCCATCATTAATCATTTACCGATTATAATTGCCTTTGTGTGGGTCTCTTCTCCCTAAGACGTATGTTTAAAGCACCAGGCTGGGTAGAAATCTGGGAGGGAAAAAACAAATACTTCTCAGCTGTCAGGGTCTATGATTTGCTTTGATAGGTTTAGCACTGATTTCATTGGCTTTACAAGCCTGCGTGACTTTTATTTTTTTAACTCACATCTCTTCTTTAGGTAACGAGGAGGTTGTGGGGAGGAGGGATGGCCCCTAAGTCCACGAGAAGTCCCACCAAGTCATGGAGGAGATGCCCAGGTCTTCTGGCCATCTGCCACTCCCTCAGGCAAATGGGGTCTCCTTCAGGGAGCCCGTCAGGCTAAAAAGGCAAACTCCCAACAAAACTTGGCTCTGATAAGTCTTCAGAAAAACCGGTTTTCACGTCCAGAATGTGCCCCAGGCAGTAAAACTCAATAGATACCCCTGGCCTGGCTGAGCTGTGCTTTGCTTAGAAGCCTGCTGTAAAGGAGATTTCAGCTTTTCAGAGGGACGGGTCCCTGTCACGGAGGTATCCAAGCCCTCTCCCCCAGCCAGTGACCTCTGCAGGAAGGGGCCTCTCCACCCACCCCAGCCCTTCCCTGGGACTCTGCCTCTGAAGAATAAAGGCCCCCCTGACTGAAGTCCGGAACCAAGAGGAATAAGCATTTCTCCAAAATACCTTCCTGCCTCAAGTTAATAAAGATTCAAAACTTTGTCCTCTCACCCTTGCCCCATCATTCTGAGGCCCAGGGACAGCAGAAGGGTGAGGAAACCAAGCCACAGGCATTTTTCAAAAGACATGCTTACCCATAAAAATTACACAGTGAATAGGGTTGGGGAGAGGGTTGCCAGGGCTCAGCTCATTAACCAGCAAATACTCTCCATTCACAGTTTTGAAAGAAAAAAAAGGCCACAGAGTAGAAGGGATGTGGTATTTCCATTTACAGATTGGTTTGAGTCCTATGACTTGGAATCTTTTTAAAGGAAGATTTAAAATATTTGCGTGCATGTGTATGTGAGCACGTGTGTGTGTGTATGTGTGACCAACCATCACCTGCCTCAAGTAGGAGCTGGAGCTGAATATGGTGACCACAGAGCCATCTGGCCACCACCAGCCAGGGCATAATGCTGGAACTACCAAAGATTCTACCTGATGCTTTACTGGGTCCCCACGCCCCAAATCCCAAATACTGTCTTTGCAGCAGAGACACTGGGCTTTGTGTTTCCAGTGCCGAGGTCTGAACTGCACGCCTCCAGCCTGGCAGACTGCTAACTCCCTGTTACAGAAGAAGAAACCCCTGGGCCTGGCCCAGAGCGGATTGCCGGGGAAGCCGGTGTGTGCCGTGATGGATGACCAGCATCCCAAACAGATAAATGCACAGAAGGTTCCACATGGCCTTGTCTGGAGCAGCGGCTTCAAGGGTGAGAAACAGGGAGAGTTCCCAGCCCTGCAGCCCCGTCCCCTCCACTTAGGACAGCCTGTGCCACACACACATTGGTGTCTTGGGGAGTGGGCTCTCTGCACCTCCCAGAAGGAAGGCTGATATCCTAGGGGTGCTGTGGGCATTCAGGTCCTTCACTAACCCCTGGTCTGTGATTCCAAGACCCTAAAGGCCTTTGGCCAGGCAATAGCCCTGCGTGCAGAGGCCGGGCTTGACATGCAGCCCACCCTCTGAGAAAGGCCCCCAGACAATCCATGTGTTTCTCTTGTCCTTCATTCCACCGGAGTCTGTCTCATACCCATCCAGATTTCAGTGGAGTGAAGCTCAGGAGGCGTGGAGCTGGCGCCGGGGCCACAGCCGCAGCCACAGCAGCAGCGAGAGTAGCTCTGACTTAGAAAAAGAAGGGCCCGGTGAGGGACGCGGTAGATGAAGGATACATCTGGAGCACGCAGCCTGCTGCAGAGGGGCTGGGGAACTGGGGATGGGCAGGCTGGACAACGCACCACACATGGAAGCCACGTATTCTTCCTTTTCTAAAACTGGTGCTACAGAAATGTGCGTGTTCTGTAACATACAAAAATTAAAAGTTGTCTGTCTGCTGGAAAGCCTGCCTCTGTGATTCTTGCTCTCGGATGCAGACCCCCTGGCCCTCTAAGTCACCTTCTCTTTGGGCTAAAACAGAGACATGAGCTGGAACAATCAACAGAGGCCCCTTCTGTCCTTGGGTTCTGCAGGCAGGTGGCTGGAATTCTATTTGCAGTCAGCAAGGAAGCCTGCTGTCCTCAGTGTCCCCACAGCAGCCACAGCAGTAATAACTACTGCAGGGCCTGCAGAATAGGGTCAAAAACACTCTAAGAAGATTCTTTAAACCCTATTTATATTGTTATAAAATAAATGTAAATAAGATGTAAGTGAAAGTAGATTTCAGGTACATCTGATGCTCTACAAGATATATCTCACATACTGTGGGTGTAAATTCTACAAAGGTTAGTGCACTTAAACATATTTGACACATAAAAATGTCAGCTCCATCATTAATCATTTACCGATTATAATTGCCTTTGTGTGGGTCTCTTCTCCCTAAGACGTATGTTTAAAGCACCAGGCTGGGTAGAAATCTGGGAGGGAAAAAACAAATACTTCTCAGCTGTCAGGGTCTATGATTTGCTTTGATAGGTTTAGCACTGATTTCATTGGCTTTACAAGCCTGCGTGACTTTTATTTTTTTAACTCACATCTCTTCTTTAGATAACGAGGAGGTTGTGGGGAGGAGGGATGGCCCCTAAGTCCACGAGAAGTCCCACCAAGTCATGGAGGAGATGCCCAGGTCTTCTGGCCATCTGCCACTCCCTCAGGCAAATGGGGTCTCCTTCAGGGAGCCCGTCAGGCTAAAAAGGCAAACTCCCAACAAAACTTGGCTCTGATAAGTCTTCAGAAAAACCGGTTTTCACGTCCAGAATGTGCCCAAGGCAGTAAAACTCAATAGATACCCCTGGCCTGGCTGAGCCGTGCTTTGCTTAGAAGCCTGCTGTAAAGGAGATTTCAGCTTTTCAGAGGGACGGGTCCCTGTCACGGAGGTATCCAAGCCCTCTCCCCCAGCCAGTGACCTCTGCAGGAAGGGGCCTCTCCACCCACCCCAGCCCTTCCCTGGGACTCTGCCTCTGAAGAATAAAGGCCCCCCTGACTGAAGTCCGGAACCAAGAGGAATAAGCATTTCTCCAAAATACCTTCCTGCCTCAAGTTAATAAAGATTCAAAACTTTGTCCTCTCACCCTTGCCCCATCATTCTGAGGCCCAGGGACAGCAGAAGGGTGAGGAAACCAAGCCACAGGCATTTTTCAAAAGACATGCTTACCCATAAAAATTACACAGTGAATAGGGTTGGGGAGAGGGTTGCCAGGGCTCAGCTCATTAACCAGCAAATACTCTCCATTCACAGTTTTGAAAGAAAAAAAAGGCCACAGAGTAGAAGGGATGTGGTATTTCCATTTACAGATTGGTTTGAGTCCTATGACTTGGAATCTTTTTAAAGGAAGATTTAAAATATTTGCGTGCATGTGTATGTGAGCACGTGTGTGTGTGTATGTGTGACCAACCATCACCTGCCTCAAGTAGGAGCTGGAGCTGAATATGGTGACCACAGAGCCATCTGGCCACCACCAGCCAGGGCATAATGCTGGAACTACCAAAGATTCTACCTGATGCTTTACTGGGTCCCCACGCCCCAAATCCCAAATACTGTCTTTGCAGCAGAGACACTGGGCTTTGTGTTTCCAGTGCCGAGGTCTGAACTGCACGCCTCCAGCCTGGCAGACTGCTAACTCCCTGTTACAGAAGAAGAAACCCCTGGGCCTGGCCCAGAGCGGATTGCCGGGGAAGCCGGTGTGTGCCGTGAGCTGGAGAGAACTGCCCCATCCATCTTCCCGAGCCAACCCCTATTTCATGTCCAATATCTTCATTGCAAAGCATGGCTCACCAAAACACAACACAGAAAATGATTTACTCAAAAGCCCCTTTCAACAACAAAAAGTAATACTGCCCTGCTTTCTTTATTCATGATCTTTTATTGAGGCAAAAGGCAAATATTATTGACCAAACTGGAATAGACAAATATATACACCCTCTGGTAATTTAATATGTTGTGCTAATGGTAAACACTATAGATACAACCCGAGAGCAGTAAATTACAATCCTATCAATAATGCATCCCATCTGGGCTCCGGTTTCCCAGTTCAGGAGAAAATGTATATTGGCAAAAGGCTGTCTGAATATTAAAAGCCATGCATATAATGAGGCAGTGGATACAGAAGCTGGACGATCCCGGAGGAATACATTCTGGTTTTTGTTAAAAGCTCCTTTATAGGGAAAGCATCCCACACTGAAGCTCCTGCAGCCAGCACGTAATGAAGACCTCCCATCCACATTCTCAGCAGATCCCTGCATGAAGCTTCAATCACAGAATAACCCCCAGTCAGGGCACCTGTTTGCCAGATTACTCAGAGCTCTGCGAACGTTTGGATGGCTCAGGCCTCTGGCAAATGTCTAGGATCCGTTAGGGTGACCTCCAGTAATGGACAAGGGACTGCAGAGACTCCCAGTGCAGACAGCAGTGCCTGAGAGAAAAATCATGTGGCCTCAGGACTCCCAGTCTTCTGATCCTGTCCCCAGTTTCCCCAGTTGTGTGTGGTTCTCAAAAGAAAGGAAGAAGGGAGGGGGACCCATGACAGGCAAGGAGCCAACCATTTGGCAAAGGATAAGAGATTGACTCTGGAATTTAAAATGTCCCCAGTTCTTAAACGTCAGTGGATCCAAATTCCCTTACCCCTCCCACCAGGAGAAGCAAATGACCACAGTCGCACATGGGTTCCTGTCTTTGACCTCCCCTGATTAAGGAAGTATTGAGGAATCAGACCCGCCAGCCCCTTCTCTCTTTTCTGATTAGACCCTGGAAAAGAAGAGCCCATGGAGGCTGTCAGGGGCTTTCATGCAAAAGAAAGGGGATGCAGAAGGCAGCCCCATCCCCAGGCTCAGAGAGAAAAGGGCCTGGCCAGACACCAGTTTGTTAGAAATAAAGCTTCCTAAATTGTAGGGAGCTGATCAGGCTTTCTGGAGAAAGACACCTATGCATCAAAGAAAATGCGAAAAATTATCTTTGTCTGGAAGCAGCAAGCAGCATGGGGAAGTCTTGTCACTACCTCCCTTCCTCCTCCCCACAACCATTCCACCCGCTTCAATGCCTTTTTCCCCTTTGGAGGGGTGAAGAAGCCTGTTTTTCCCTTGCTGTCAAGTCAGATAGCAAGGCACGGTGGGACACCTTGTGGGGAATAGTGGAATTACATCCACATTCGATCTCAAGCGTCACTACCCAGGTCTGGGGAGACACGCACCCTCTGAGGGCATGGGAAAGAACAAGGCAGGCAGCTCCCCAGGTTTCATGGTATTGAAGTGGGCTTTACATGTAGCAGCAGTTGGGTAGATACTGACCTACATTTCTGCTATGTTCAACTGTATTTGGGAAGAACTGGTGGCTAGAAATAAATATAAATAGAATCCATAGATTAAAAAAAAAACACCGTGATTTGCAATACAACTCCCTCATTACTTAAACTTTACTTAAAGTCATGTTGAAAGTAGATACCATCCCAGAGGACGCGTCAAGCAGAATAGCTGAGAGAAGTTCCCGGAAGATAATCTATAGATGAGAAATTCTCACCGGAGGTAATCAAACATTGACTGCTCAAGGCCAATGCGAATTTCTTATTTGCACTCAAGTGCACGGCTAGCATCCGGCTGCAGTTTCTGAATCAGTGTGTGAAGTGGTTAAGAGGGGTCAAATCAGATATGGTGCCAATCTGATCTGGCCAGGGGACTTTGGGCCAGCCATTTAACCTCTCCAAGATCCAATTTCCTTATCTGTCAAGTAGAAAAAATGATAATAATGGCAAGTACTTACTACAGGTCAGACACTGTGTGCTTTGTGTATATTAAATCATTTAATGTTCCCATTCACCTTATATGATACGATTGATATTCCAGTTTTACAGATGATAAAACTGAACCACAAAGTGGGTAAGGGACTTGCCCAAGGTCACACAATTTGTGAGCAGCAGAGATGAGACCCAAACTCGGGTTCTCTGGCTCTAGAGTTCACACATGGGACTAGTCCTCTATCTGATCTCTTAGTGTTGGTTGAGGATTAGATAAAAATAATGCATGCAAAAGGTTTAGCAAGTTCCTAATAGAATCTAAGGACTCAAAACTATTGTCTATTATTGTAACCTTATCAAGAAGTATCTTTAAGAAGCTCTGTCTAGTGTACACTGACCAGAAATAAGTAACTATACACAGGTCTTTGGCTGCTGGGAACCCAGCATTAAATTTGTTGTGCAATTTAGCCACAACTGCAATCAACCTTAGCTTCTAGAATAATTATCTCCTCTTTCCAGCCCCTTCCTGTTAGGTGAGTTTCATTTTAGCTTCACATTCAGCATGTATCATACTGTAAGAAACTTGAAGATTTTTTCTTTTTTTCTTAAATAAGCATGGCAACACATCAGAAACAAATTACCATTTTTCTAGGATACATGCCATTTCAAATTTTTGCACTATTTTCCTGGGGGCAGGTGGAAAGTACCTGTGCAAAAGAAATGGGTGAAGAGCTAATGAAAGAAAAGTTTTGAGCCCCTAAGAAAGTGGAACAATCAAGAGAAATAAATCAAGAAACAGCAAACAGATGGACAGCGAGGAGGCTGTGATGGTTCTGGGCTCAGCACTCCGCAGCCTACGCCTGAGGTTTGCAGAGCAGCGTTGTGCCAAAGCCATGCCTTGTAGGTCTCATTAAAGAGATTTCCAGAGTTGCAGCAGTTCTGACACCAGACATGCTATCCCCAGGCTGGAGCTCACTCCCCACGGGTTTTCAGAGACAGGAATGGGGGTGGTTATGTCGCTCAGACCCCTTGGACACCTGGCTTCCAGGTCTCCGTTCCCTCCTAGAGTGTTCAACTGTCTTAAGTACCAGGGTTGTGTCTGGAGACTGCTCACCTGGTAGTGTCCAGCCCCAAGGAGGTTCTACACCTGAAGTTGGACAACCAGCAGGCCAAAGGGG